TCTCAGGACGTTTTATGCAATTGTATATGCGGTGTGTGTGTGTGTGTGTATGCATGCCTATTCTTATTGCTAGAACAATAAAATGTGTAGAGAAATAAAAATAAACAGCAAAGTGGACATTCGTATTAAATAAATTTGAAGTAGTTGCTCTAACACACACACACACACACACACGTGCATCCTTGCGCGTATATTCACTTGTATTTACTCTGGTGTTAAGGACAAGTGTCTGCTGTTGTTGGCTTATGACTTACTTCGGTGACTTCCTGCAACAACTGCCAACTGCTCGCTTCCAATATATGTATGTATGTATGTGTTACACATTTGACTGTATGACTGTATGACTGTGTGGTGTGTGTGCGTATGTTGCTTGCTTTCTATAAGTGCGAGCGCTAAAGGAAGGAAGTGAGAGGTCATTGTGAGTACTCGGAATCTGCCATACTTGAGCTGAACTCTGAGTAAATAAGACATGCTACAACTAATTTGTGGTGATAATAAAAGTTCATAATGTTGAAACGCTTTGCTAAATATGACGATGACCATGACGGTGGCGACGGCGACTTGTGTTACACACCGTCCAGAGGTTAAGCGGACAAGGGGAGCAGAAAATAAATACCAAAAATGAAAGCTAGAAACTTTTTGCTTATTTTTAATTACTTACATATCGAGCCCTAACCGCCAAAATAACGGAGCCGACATTTTTTTCAAAATTTTTTTTTTTTGATGCAGAAATATTTCTAGAGCTATAGATGCATTTCTGCATCAAAAAGAAAATTTTGAAAAAAATTTCGGTTACATTATTTTGGCGGTTAGGGCTCAATACATAGGCGACGGAGAATGACGGGAAAGGGGTTTAACTTCAAAACAAGATATGTAAATAGTATATAGAGCTGGAATACGATCTGGCAAAAATTTTAACCCAAGTGACTCGGTTCTCCTAGGAATCGGTCGGGGATCATCTCGAAACCCATCATTACCTATTGTTGTATAACCTCACTCACTTTCGTAAAGAAATACAAAGTTTTGATATCAACACGACCAGACTGATACAGGAGAACTGACCATATGTTTAAAGCCGCATAGCAGACTTTTATAAAGCTGGCTTGATTTATACATTATTTCTTAATTTAACCCTCATATACATACATATGTACATAACGTTCTTTAATATAAAAAGGCTCGGGCTAATCTTTGTAAAAAATACAGTTTTGTGCGAAAGTCGGTAGATTGCTCACTAAAATCCTCTAAAAACTAAAAAAGAACTGCTTTGGCATAAAATTGGTTATATTTTTCAAAAAAATACAGCATTTAAAATGAATTTAGAGCTAAAAAAAACCTGATTTCCTCTTAAGGTAATCACACCGTAACTTGAACTTGTAATGTCCTAATACTCACTGTAAAAAGTGCCTTTTGAAAGTCGATTAATCGATTATTTATCAATAATTGCAATTAATTACAATTAATTTTCTTTTGGCTTGTGATTAATCATATGATTAATTAATCGATTATTTTATTTTTTTGTCCATCCCTAGATACTATTACGAAAAAAATTTCGCTTGCAGTAACTTCTACGTGGTAAGTGCTCCTCCATTATTTGGGTATTATTGAATGAATTTTAACTAAATTTGCACAGTACATTCCTTAGACTCTTAGAAAGGACAAAGGCCCGCTAGGTGGCGCTGAATTCAATATATTCAAATCCGTAATAATAGTTGTGGCGTCCGCCTTGAAGTTGTCAAACAAAGAAGAGGGACCTACATCCGTACGACGATTTCATTTTTTTGAGATACTGTTTTTCATGGCAGAATACGCTCAGAGCAGAGGCTTGATCCAGTCCCTTCGGAATGATAGCGCGCACTGCTAACCATTGCACCACAGCGGCAGCATTAACATATAGGATACGTTTTTGCTTAACTGACTAAGGATTTGGACTCTCTATAATTCTTGGAGCTTCGGACTTATTGCAGATAAAATAGATCACTGCGTGTCTGGATCGGCATATTTTCTTTAGACATGAGGGCACGGGGTCCATTAGTTAGAAGGAGGCGAACTACTAAACGTCTGGATCAAAACAAGAGGTGTTCGATGAAGGTGTCCTTTTCCAGGGAGCTTTGCTATAACCTCAGAATAGGCTTCCAGATTACTGCAGTATTTTCCAGGCCGTATAAGCTTTTGTTAAGGTTCTTTTAAATAAGCGATTTTAAAATAAATGCCGTTCGAATCAAAAAATCTTGAACAAAGAATTAACTATAAAGAAGATCATGTTTAATGCAATTTTTCATCTTCATTCGCCGAACTCGTTTCCACACATGCAATCGTAACAATAACCATAAGTCGTTAAGTGAAATATCCATGCTTTCAGTGGCCCCTCCTTCTGCCTGCCCATCGCAGCATCGCATAGCTCAGTTTAGCGCAGGAAAATCTCGCACATCCAAATATTGTTATATCCACTTTACACGAAAATTAATATTTTATTGTTATAACACACGAATAAAATCAAATCAAAACATAACAACAACAGCAACAGCAAGCAAGCAACTATACGAAAAGCAACAGGAGCAACAACTGCAGCTAT